ATATATATATATATATATATATATATTAATATTTAATATTTTAAATTTAATTTTTAAAATGGGAAAGTAGGAAAATTCCCATATTTCTTAGTCTAAAATAGTTTATATCATAGATTTAATCTTTGTAATTTATTTTTTAATAATATCATTGTAATTTATGAAATTTAAAGTTAATTTTTAAGTTTAAATCTTTTGAACAAACAAACTAAACTGAAAATAGACCTAAACCGATACAACCCGAGTTGGTGGGTTTTCACTAATGGTCAATCGGTTTCGAGTGACAAACTACATACTTGACCATATCAATTTGGTTGGCGAAACAACTTGCAATTGAACTGAACCAATCATTGAACGCTCCTAATTTCAATTGAATTTAATCTCAAATAAATACTAAAAATATATATACTAAATTAGTCAATAGATAGTGTAATCTCAAATAATAGTTTAATCTCTAATAAGTATTAATCTATAAATTATAAAAAATATATAATTACTAAAAATAAATTTATAACAAAAATACANATAATTATTGAAAGCATATTTATAAAAAACAATAAATAATTACTTAAAATAAAATAAATATTAATTATAGTATATATAAATATATAATGAATATACACTAYTATTGTAARATTATTACTAATAAATATAATTTTGTTGATAGTTATTTTCTATAATTATTAATTGATATAAGTGAAATTAATTATTTACAATATTATTTAGTTATTAAAATAATATTGTTATTTAAATTCTTAAAATATTAATTATTTATTGAATTTAATAATCCATAAAATTATAATTGTACTATTATTACATAATTCTTTATTTATTTTGTAAAATATTAATTTTTTTTTACTATGAATATTATGAATTCTATTATAATTATTTTTCTACTTTTAAGATTTTTATAAAATTTATTACATAATTTCGTTATTTTAACTATTTAAATTTTTTTCATGTTAAATATTTTGTTATATTATTTGGCTATTTTTAATGTTTTTTAAATAATATTTTTAGTTATTTAAATTTTGTTTTTTTAATGTTAAATTTTTATTATTTCAATAACATTTAAATTGAATAATTTGTAAAATTATAATTTATATTGTTACTACATAATTTCTGGATGAATTTTGTGAAAATATTGAATTATTAATAATATGAATATTATTAAATCTATTAATTTTTTGTGTTTTGAATAAATATTTTTAATTTAGTATATAATTTCGTTATAACATTTAAATAGTTCTGAATTTTTTTTAATTGAAACTTTCTTTAGATAGATATAGATAAAAAGTGGGGGAAGAGGATAAATAGGAATTAAAGATAGTTTAGGAGAGAATCTCTCTACTAAATTAGAGATAATTTAGGAGATAAATAGGAATTAGAGACAATTTAAGAGGAAGTGGGGGAATGTGGTACCACTTGGCTAAACATGAGAAGCAAATCCCTCTTTATTTATGGTTGTTAGAAATAGTTAAACATATGTGATTTCCTTATTGGTTTAATGGGTAATTATGTGGAATAATAAAAAATAAATAAAAAAAAAAGAAACAGAAAATTAGGAAGGGGGATTTGAAGCAAGGAGAGGTATGGTGACGTGGACAGACCAATTTTAATATATATATATATATATATATATATATATATATAAAGAGAGAGATAAAATTATATAAAATGTAAAACAAAAATAAAACAGAATTTACATAATTACATTCAGCTCATTTGCATTCCCATACTTTTACAACTAATGAAATTGTACTACATTAGTGTCACAAGTGACCACTTTGCCGCGCCATCAACTACCATCACCACGCCTACAGCATGCCATTCGAGTGTCCAAGTGTGTGTCTTGGGTGGGGCATTGCATGTATCTTGTATGGGGGGATTATCAATGGTATTATTGTAATTTTGTAGTATGATTTTTCATTATTTTGATGTTTCTTTATGTCACTCCCCAAAAAATTTAATGTACTCTTTGAGGGGAGGTAGGTAGTCAAGTGAATCAGTAGCGTGTAAAGGTTAAGCACGAGATCCCCTTGACACTAAACTGTGTGCTTATGCTTGCTATATATTAATGTAATACAAATAGCCTTTTGACTAATTCGTGTGCCATCTTGTTGTCTTTTCTTGTGTTGTTACTTGTTTCTTAGGCTTATCCGTCATATTCGAGTGCCACACGAGGCCCGAATGACTAGTCCCATAATACTAGGCCCTAAGTATAGGGCAATGGAATTCACATCTACACCCCATAACGTCCTATAGTACATCCCTATTGTGTATTAGGAATATCTTCCAATGATAATACCAGAACCGATGATATTATTATCGGGAAATGTTCCCAATACACGACGAAAATGTGCTATGGGACATTGTAGGGCACCCCTTGTGAAGCATAGATTTGAACTCGCGGCAGAGATAAAGAAATTTGTACTAATAAAATGCACCTGTGGGTAGAATGTGGGAACAGCCCATGGGTAGCAGATCCAACCCCAATACAATGATGTTATGTGCACTTGTGCCTCCAAATAGTGTTGGGAATACGCTAATCCTGCTAGGAGCCTAGGACACTCTTGTCCAATATGTCATGATCCTCTCCCAGTGCAAATTAAGCCTTGGTACTAAGTACTAACTTGGGGATGGCGACCTATTTGCCAGACACAAAATGTAACGCCCCGGGAACACGTACAACGTACGTAGTAGCTGCTGGCTCAATATTTATTTGTTGTACTTGTATTATTTTATTATTGTTTATATAATTCATTATTTTATTCAACTGAGATGTTTCTTTTTTGTAATTTTGTGAATCATTGTATATATATATATATATATATAATAACTTCAATTGTAACTTTGTAATTTTGTTTGCTTTCTGGATACATTTAATTTGGTTTATTTATAAGGACAATAACCTGAATTATAAGTTGAAATACCAAATACCTTAGATAAAATTAGTTTTTTAGTTTCACTGTTCGAAATATATATATATTACCATGGTTTTGAAATCCGGATTGGATTGGATTAGATTGGACGGTCGAACCAGTTGACTTAAGAATTGGTCATGGTAAGGTTCAAAGTATTGGCCTGTATCGGCTGATACATATCGTTCTGGGACCCTTCCGATATGCCCCTATAGTGGGTGTATCAGGGGTCTGACTGGTTCAGGGGGTGGAGGAATCATAAACCAGCCCCCCTGAACCAGTTTCAGAAAAAAAAAATAGTACTGATTCGCCTAATACACCGGCCCTTACCGACGTATCGGGCATATCGATATTCTAAACCTTGGGTTATGGTTCTAGGTCCGGTTTTGGATCCTCCAAAACTGCCTGACCTATAAACCAATGGTCAAAACAGTTCAATTTTTTGTCCGGTTTTCAAAATCATGATGCAATTATATAAGAAGGGTCTCAACCCAACTTCCCGTTTGAAGTTTGAACACAAGATGCGTCTCCACCAATCTCAACTAATATCCTCTATATCAAGTCTTTTGGACTTGGACTGATCTCAGGCCTATAGAAGCAAGAGACAGAAAAAAACTCTCCCTCACAGAAAGCAAGAGGCAGAGAAGGATCGATACAGTTCCCAATCCCATAAGCCATTATGGTCTGCAAAATATGGACGTCAAAGTCGTTGGATTGCTTCAACCACAACAATATTTGAGAACCCTTTTTCCCTTACACAAGATAATCACGTACGTTTGCTTGTTATATATAACATGCATGGTTCTGATTTTCCTTGTTGTTTTGATTTGCTTGCTTAATTAGGCGGTAGAAGACAAAGCAAAATGAAGTTGGTCTGATGACATCGATCTTAATTTATATATTTTCCTTGATGAAGGTTCCAAACGTGGGTATCAGTCGACGTGCCAAATTTGGTTTGTCCTCAATTCTTTATTGCTTCCAGGAAACTCCCCTATCTACTCCATGATAACGATAGTAAGTTTCTGCAACCACGATTGCTGCCAATTAAATAGGTTCACTCTTCCTGTTTCGTGTAGCTCTCTCTCTCTCTATCCCTCCACCAGCTGAGCTGAAACACTCAATAAGGTAAGATTTCGGTTTCATACCACCATTACTATGACCCATAATTCATTGATACTATGATCATTAATTACTTAATGCATTGCAATGTCATCGTGATCATCATATATGATCATCTATTCATGTATGATGAGCACTTGTATATATTTGATCATGCATCCATTCTTCAGGAGGTTTCACGTAAGTTCTTCTGTTTGCATCACCAGGACGTTGGGGGGCATATATGCATGCGAGAAGCTGTGATAGCTGCAGGCTAACTATCTGCTCTTAATCTCTCCGTGTAACTTCTCTCTCTCTCTCTTCGAGTTTTTCTTAGGCCAAGGAATTCAAATCCATTTAAATTTACAAGTTGGTTGGTGCTTCATATTCCTGAATTCCATTAATCCCAAGTTTTTTTTCTTTTTTCTTTTTTCTTTTTCAGCTTCAAACAGCCTGTGAAATTGACAGTCCATAGGGTGTTTGGCGTTGATGTGCTTTTTCTGCCATTTATTATATGCAAAAACACCAACTGACAATGTTAGAGAATAAAAACCTATTGGACCTCATCTGTTTAATCTTTTATCTTGAATGGTTTCTTGACATGGTATTAAAGCTTGCTAATTTAGTGTTATGGTACATTTTAACAAAAATCCACCACACCAAATACCATCAATAAAATAATAATAATGCAAAATAAAAGATATATGATTATAAATATGCAAAAAAATAATCTTAAAAAGTTTGTACAAAATAATAGACATGTTTTTGGTGTCCCAAATTTCAAAAAAAAAAGAGAATTATTGTTATTAATAATGAAATTTACCAAAAATAAATAAAAATGCAAATCAATTGGGATTGTTGGGTCTAATCCATTGATCAATGGTCATCACCCGGATTGTTGGGTCTCTCATCAAGTCAATGGGTTTCTGTTAAAAAGTGGGTTTGAGTTGACTATTACATGGGTTGGACATATCAATAGTATGGTGATGTTTGACACCATTGCTGATTTCTCAAAAATTAGTGTCACATCGGAGCCACATCAACATCTAAAGAATTGGTGATGAAAAAACTGTTTGGTTCGCTGATTTTAGTTGATTTCTCAAAAATTTCTGAATAATCAATTCCTAAGATCGCCTCTGGATGAGGAATCACCATTTTCGTCATTCCCCATTTGGATTCAATGAAAAAAATGGCCATTTCTCAAAAATCAGTTTACATGGCAGGAATGGTCCCAAACAACAAAAATTGATGTTTTTTTGAAAAACACCGATTTCAGAAATCACAAATCGGTGAGGCGATGGTGCCAAACATCACCTAAGGTCAATATGGGTTGAAAACATTTATATGAGTTGTTCAAGTTTTAATATTTTTAATGGATTGCTTCAAGCAATGTTTAAAAAAAAAAAAAACACGACCCAAAGTCCAAACCGTTTTTGTCTCCGAGTCGTGTCACCGGTTCAACCAGCCAAGTCAAATGGGTCAGACCATGCCACATCATCATCTATGTATTTAAGGTATATATATTTATATAATACATGTATATATATATATGTATAAATACATATTTTATCAATAAATAATGTATAATTATGTTTTAGATATGTTATATGTATTACTTTATATTTAATTTATGTTTTTAATTCAGTTTTTATTTTTTATTTATAAAAAATATTAAAAATTGTGATTTGAGGCTAAAAAAGGAGTTTTTTCGCAAAAATAGCAGGCTTGGGACACATTTCAAAAGGTTATCCAAAAAAAAAAGATCATCACAGTTAGACATCGAAGTGCAAAGTTATGGCCTCCAAAAGTTTACATGCATTAAGTGTGCAACCCACAATCCGATGACTAGTCGGCAATTGAACTGGTCAGGTCAAACAATTTTTGACCGATTAATGGGTTTTAACAGAACCAGACATAGAATCCTGACCAAGTGATGGTTCGAAGAATTCAACTAGCTAGATCAATGACGGGTTGAAAACATTGACTTCAAGCCTTCAACAACAATAAAGTTGTTTACCAAAAAAATAAGAATAAAGTGACCACACTCTAGTATTACCTGAAGAAACAAAATTGTGTCATGAAGTAAACTGAAAATTTGCTCCATGAATTTTAATTACTCAACCTATCGGGTTATCCTAATGAAACCCTAATATCATTTTATAATCGTCTATCTATAAGACAAAGCAATAATTAATTCAGACCTGGTGACTGGTGAGTCCTATGTTCCTTTCACTCGGCCCGCTCCAGTTGATTGCCATCCCCTACTGCTCTAGTTGAAGAGGTTACTTAGTAGTTGGTACGAGCTCAGTTTTTATTGATGGTTTCTTCTTTTTTTTTTTTTTTTTTTTGTACTTCAGGCAATTCTCTCAAGCATGAGGACCCATGAGTTTCTTGTGCTGTTTCTCTGTTTCTGTGCCTTGACACCCTCCTTCTCTCTCCCTGCTTCCCCTGATGGGCTAGTGAGAATCAGGTTGAAGAAGAGAGCCTTGGATGATAACAGTCTATATACTGCAAGAACCATGAACAAAAAGAGCAGACATGCCAGCAGCTTTCTGAAAAATATTTGCAGGAATTTGGGTGATTCAGATATGGGTAAAGTGTCCCCAAAGAATTATTTGATCTGCCGTAGTTTGTCTGGTTCATCAGATGCAGATGTGGTATTGCTGAATAATTATTTGAATTCTCAATACTTTGGAGAGATTGGAATTGGTTCTCCACCACAGAACTTCACTGTTGTTTTTGATACCGGAAATTCCAACCTCTGGGTTCCATCATCAAAATGCCTTTTCTCTGTGAGTTCTAGTGTATGTTAAGCTTTTCAAATTCTGATGCTCATCAACATCCAGGAACTCATTAACGAGAAGTACAATTTCATGCAGGTGAACTGTCATTTCCATCCTGCAAATTATATTGCAGGCCGGTCAAGTACCTATAAAAACATTGGTAATTAATACTGTTTTTGCAGTAATTGGATTTTAATACTTGTAGGCATAGACTCAGGTTCTTCTTCTGGGTTCTGATATTCAGGAAATAATAATAATCTTTATTATGGGTCGAGATCAATTTCTGGCCGAGATGATGTTCAAGTTGGGAATGTCATCGTTAAAGACCAAGTAGGTTTAATTTGTCTACTTTTAAATATATGACTGTCTGTGTGTGTATGTTGTTTGGTTGCAGCAAGCCAACAGTAATGGATGTATTTATTTTCTGTATCTTTTTACAGGCTTTCACTGAGAATACACGGGAAGGAAGTCATGCTTTGTTACTGGGAGAAGTTGATGGGGTAATGGGATTGGGTTTCCAGGAGAAACCTGCAGGAAATATCTTGCCTATCTGGTATATATAGTTAGCTATTTTTTAATTACTCATTTATCCTTTTTTGTGTTCATCTCTACCTCTTCCCTTTTCTGAGGAAATGCTAATTCATTCTTATTGGGGAGTTCAGGTACAACATGGCTGAGCAAGGTCTAGTAAACAGGAAGGCTTTCTCTTTCTGGTTGAACCGAAATCAAGAATCTGAGGAAGCGGGTGAGATTGTATTTGGTGGCGTTGTTCCCAAACACTTCAGGGGGGAGCACACCTATGTTCCGGTTACTCGGAAGGGCTACTGGCAGGTGGTTTCATTATCTTCAAATTCCTCCAAGTTATTATGTTAGTGTTAGAGAATAGAATCCTATTCAGGGACCTCACCCAACAGCTGAAGCTTTTAAGCCTTTAGGTTGAATGGATATCAGAGCCTATTTGATCAAATGGTCTAGTGTTCAATCCTTGTTGCCCCTATTATAATTAATTAAGGCTATGTTTGGATTAAAGGAAAAAATAAGGAAAGGAAGGGAAAGATAAAGGCTATATAGGTTTCCCTGTCTTTCCCTTCCTTTCCCTGCATTTTCCTTCAAACCAAACATAACCTAAATTTACTCAAAATTATGGGGCTGCTGGGTGCACGGATTAGGCTAAAATCTCAAAACTGACCTAATTAATTTCTCTTGATTTCTTTATATGTTGTGTTTGATTGCAGTGCAAATAAATTTAAACTGATGCAAAATTATGGTAGTGTAAATGATTTAGGTGTACATACTGATTTATTTTTGTTTCAAAATTTACCTTATTTTATTTGATTGCCATTGCAGTACAAATGAAATAAAATAAGACACAAAATTAAACCAAAATTTGTATTCTTTTCATTTGCACTCCCATGCATTTTGTACCATTTCAAATAAGATTGAACTGCAACCAAATGCATACAAAGAAAGACCTAATCAGTTTTGTTTTTCTATTGCCATATCTTTCACCAGGTTGAAATAGGAGATTTTCTTATTGGGAACCGTTCAACAGGTGAATTATATTACTGTTATCTTGATACCACCTCATATTAAACTTGTTTCTCAACTCCAAATTCATATTTATATTTCCAGGTTTCTGCAAGAGTGGTTGCACTGCAATTGTGGATTCTGGGACTTCGTTAATAGCTGGTCCAACTGTAAATGCTCATACCTTCTTCAACACGTCCTTTATGGTTTATTGTCACCTGTAATTAATTATATATCCTAACTTGTATTTCAGTCCATTGTGTCGCAAATCAATCATGCCATTGGAGCTGAAACTGTAACAGATATGGATTGCAGACAACTTGTGCGTACCGTCGGAGAAATAGTAATGGATCTCCTAATATCGCAGGTCTGTTTTCTTTCTCTTTCTTATGATTTTTTTTTTTTTAATTCTTAATTTCTTTCTTGTAAACTAGCTTCCAGCGTTTGCCTTACATTTTGCCTACCCTATAGCAGATCCAACCGGACAGCGTGTGTTCAATGATCAGTCTCTGCAAATCTGATGTTAATAGGACACAGCATCACCATGTGAGGTCAGAATTAACATCTTATGTGATATTGATGATGATGATGTGTTTCCTGGCTTCACCATCCTTAATAATTTCCTTTCACTACTGAAGCTCTGAAACTTGAATATGCATGCCTGATTGTAAGCAGCAATTATAATGGCCTAGAAACAATAGTTGCAAGCCGAACAAAGGAGAGATCATCGGCTGTTCAAGGATTTCCATGTTCTCTTTGTAACGTCATGGTCTCTGTGATGAAAATCCTGCTTAAACGAGATTTTGTTCTGGACAAAATAGTCGAATATGTAGCCCAGGTAATTAAGCTTATATTTCAGACATATATATAAACTTATATGCAATCTATGATAAATATGATTCAACAAATCAAATTTCTAATTGTGTTTCATCATCAGCTGTGCGAGCACCATAATTCTCTGCTTCATGGGAGGTCCTTTGTTGACTGCAACAGCATTTCGGACATGCCAAATGTTGCATTTACCATTGGAAATAAAACCTTCCATCTCACTCCGGAACAGGTATTTGTGTGTTCATTTGGTTAATTTGTATAAACTCAGTTGTATTGTTAAGTGAGTGCGTGGATTAAATTTTTGAAATTTCTTTTAAATGGTGTACCAGTACATTGTTAAAACCGGAGAAGGCAATGCTGCTGCATGCCACAGCGCGTTTGTGCCACTGGATGTGCCTCCTGCAGCCGGAGGGCCACTTTGGTAGGTCTTGAGAATTCATGAGATGCATGCATTCATCCTTTACCTTAATTTAGGATCTGTTTGGTTTTCAATGGGAATGGGATTGAATGGCCTATTCTCATAGTCTGCAGTTTGATTCAAATTGGAATAGGAGTGGAAATTAGAATCAGCTGGAATGGGATTTCATTCTCAAGGGAGGAGGAGGGAATGCCCATTCTCTCAAATGGAGGAATGTTATTCCACGAAAAATGAAAATAAAATTCCAATTCCACTCAACCACACAGTATTAAAATTGGAATGACCCATTTGGATTTTGGGTTATATATATGTATCAAATGTTATATATGAAGGATGAAAAATTAAAATATGAATATGCATTATTCATGCAGGATGTTAGGAGATATATTCATGGGGGTGTATCATACAGTGTTTGACTTCGACAAACTGCAAGTGGGATTTGCAGAAGCTGCACGTTATATATAATATACCACTTTCCCTCTGGTGTTGATGCTTAATTCTTGCATGAAAGCTGGAGTCATGGTATTCCTTGGATGAAGTAGATGATGATGATGATGTATATGTCCATATATGCGTGATATATAATCATGCATTAATTTATGATTATTAATGGAAATCCTAAATCCTTAATTTATGATTATTAATGGAAATCCTAAATCCTTTTAATTAGATGTATAAATTTTCATAAGAAAAAGAGAGCTAGCTTATAGCAGCTATGCTGATGACCATGTCTGAATGGCTGGCCTGGTCAGCGTTTGTATGTATTAATATATAGATCTCATCTATTCTTCCCATATGGGTGTAAACCTAGTAAGGTAAATATATATGGCTTTAATTTGTGGCAATTGATTCAATTATATAAACTACTGCATTTCACCAGTTATTCCATTTTACATTTTTAATAAAGATATATTGTGATTCTCTTATTCTTTTTCTTTTTTGGGTTTGCTTCGGGTTAAGCTTCAATCCAATCCATCAAGGACTATCCGTTAAAGATAAAATTAAATGCGCTGCGTTCAGTCCAAACTCACCTTAACCCAATCCAGCCCACCTCACTCATTAATCAATCTTTTAACATAAATTGCAGAAAAAAACATACAAAATGCAAAAAATAACAAAAAAACATAGAAAAAACATAAGAGATGAAGAAAATAACAAACTATACAAAAAAAAAATAAAAACAGAAAATTACAAAAAAAAACATAAATTCAGAATAATAACATAAATTGCATAATAATAACAAAAAAAATACAAAATGAAAAGAAACAAAAATTACAGAAAAGAGAAAAAAAATATAATAATAATCATGGTTTTTAAAAACGAACCGGTGACTGAACCGCTCAGGGGTCCAGTTACCAGTTCGAACGGTCGGACCGTTCGACCCAAACGGTCGGCCCGTTCTGACAAAAAAATAAAAAAATTTAAAAAAAATAAGAAATTGGAAAACGGTCAAAACCGTTCGAACGGTTAATCGGCCGGTTCAGCGGTTTGCTGACCAAAATCAACGATTTTGAGGGAAAAAGCGATTTTGGAGGAAAACGGAACCGGTCAGATGACCGGTTCCCGGTTTTTCCAGTCCAACCGTCTGGTCCGGTCCAGTTTTGAAAACAGTGATAATAATAATTATTATTATTATTAAAAATAATAGAAAATATAAAATTATAATAATCATTAGAAATTATAAAAAATCACAAAAAATGCAGAAAAAACAGATATTATAATAAAATATATGAGAATCGCTCTATATATATAAATATAGAATAATATAAGATTGGTTTGAGGTTTATCTCGATTCTTGATGATCATCAAGAAAAATTGATATATTAATATTTCAAACACGTTTTGGTGAGACCCTAACATAGTTTATTTCCATCTACATAAAAAATGGCTTTTGCTGATGAACCAATTAGCTTCGGGAACTTGGCCAGATTAACAATATATATAGTATTTAACTTGCCAGTGTTCTGAGATGGTGAGAAAATAGGATATATTGAAGGAGTATATGGACTTGAAAAATGAGAAGTTGACTGCTTACATTAGGAAATTAATATGGCTACTGGAGCTAGCGTGAGCTTCCAAGATTTGCTAGTAGGAAAGCATGCGTGGAGATACTTATCAACAAGAATCTTGTCACACTTGATTTTATTTTTAATTAATGATTTTTGGCATTACTCAACTTTGAATTGAAGAACAAATCAAGGAATTTCTGTAACTTTTCCCGTTGGCTAGATGGAAGAGGGGCCCGGTGAGATTCAATGAATGGATCACGTCGTATTTGGTGGAGTCGACAAGATGGTTAAACCATTTGGATCATTGCTTTGAGTTCACGCTGTTAACAGCTCTGGTTTGTATACGGTGGTAATGTTTTGGATTGCTGCTGATGAATTCATCCTGATTAGGATCCAGAGGCGTGACACTAAAATTTGGGTTTAAGGCTTGAGACCGAAAAGAGTCTGAGGTCAAGCTTGATCTTCCCAACCTGAGCCCAGCCCATGCTGTAAGTTGATGCACTCAGATTGGGCTTGGACCCAGGTTGGGTTCGGATTGGTTAATGAATCCACTCTAAAATTATACATATATACATACATACATACATACATACATACATACATAGTGTATGTGTGTGTATCTTATAAAGTGATTAGGTCCCACATCAGCAGTCGTCTCCTTCTCCCATTCCCCCTTCTCTCTTCTCTCCTTAAAACTAGTTAGGATATTTTGCCAACAAAATGTGTTCCAACTCTCTCCCAATTTGATCTAAGACTGTACATCTTACCATGAAACTAGGGACCCACCATAAAAGTGGGATCCGCCATATATGAGATGTGTGGTGTTAGATCTTGTTGGTAGAGGGTTGTGATTTGTTGGCAAGTGATCTAAACTCCTTAAGCCTCTCTCCTTTTTTCCTTGCCCCTTTTTAGCGCTCTCATTCACTTTCTATTTCATCTTCTTCCTTACCCAGCCCACCCATTAAGTCACGTGGCGAGAGAGTTAGTTATCAAGGAAAGAAAGAGAGATTTGGTTTTATAATATCCAACCAAGTGGCAGCATTATCCCCCACCTTCCCCTAAATTATCTCTAATTCCTATTTATCTCTAAAATTATCTCTAATTAGGTAGAGAGTTTTTCTCCTAAATTATCTCTAGTTCCTATTTATCATCTCCCACTTTTGATCTTATATCTATGTAAAGAAAGTTTGAATTAAAAAAAAAAATTAAGATTTATTTAAATATTATAATGAAATTATGTAATAACTTTAAAATATTTATTGTAACCACAAAAATAATATTTTTATGGATTATTCAATTTAATAACTAAATAATATTTTAAAAATTTAAATAAAATTATTTAAACATTATTCCATAATAAAAACTCAAAACCAAAAAAATACTATTTAAATAATGCAATAACTAAATACTTTAAATAAAAAATATTAAAAGTAGGTAAATGATTATAACATAATATTGAATATTACATAATAACTTTTTAAATAAAAATTTTAAATATTATTTAAATATTTAAATAACAAAATATTTAATATTGATAAATTTTAAATAGTTAAAATAACAAAATTATTTAAAAAATTCCTTACAAGTAGAAAAATAATTATAATAGATTTCATAATATTTGAATTAATAATATAACAAAATTATATAATAATAGTAGTATAAATTATAATTTTACAGATTATTAAATTTAATAAATAATTAATATTTTAAAAATGTAAATAATGACGTTATTTGAATAACTAAATAATATTGTAAATAACTAATTTATAAATAAGTTAAATATAAAAAAAATTAATAATTAAATCATATTTTGAATATTAATTAAAAATGATTAAATAAGAAAGTTATGTAATAACTTTCAAAAAATAATATTTATTAATAATAAATTTAAAATATTTATCTATATTTTTTATATATTTGTATATACTAAAATTAATATTTACTGTATTTTCAGTTATTACTCATTGTATTTGTGATAAATATATTTTAACAATTATGTATAAATCTATTTTTTTGTTATTTAACAAAAAATTGTAAATAATTTTTGGATATTAAAATATTATTACTTAATTTTAAGTTTAATTTATTGTACTTATTGGATTTATTGTATTTTTTATAATTTATTGATTTATATTTGTTAAAGATTAAACTATTATTGGATATTACACTATTTATTGACTAATTTAATATACTTTTTAGTATTTATTATGTTTTCATAATTATTGTATTCATTGTATATTTATTATTTATTTGTTATATTTTCATTATAAATTTATTTTAAAAAAATTTTTATTTTCTCTATAAATTCTTAATAATTATTGGAGATTAAACTGGTATTTATTAGAGATTAGACTATTAATTTATCTAAAATTAGGAGTGTTCATGGGTCATTTCAGTTCGGTTGAAGGTTGTTTGGCCAACTAAACCAACTTGGTTGGATTGGGGAGTTGGTCACCCGAAACTAGATGTTCATGGGTCGAGTAGCCCAACAGGTTGGCCTGGCTCAACCCATTCTAAATTGGGCTTGGTCAACATTTTAAACCCACAGGCTCAGGCTTGGGCTTTAAACATCGGGCCTAACTATATTTCGAGTTAGGCTCGGGCTTTCCCAAATAAGCCTGGCCCAAGCCCGACATGATAATATTATATATAGTAAAAAATATAATATGCATTAATAATACATAAAATATATATTATATAATAATAAAATTAGTAGTGAAAAAGGTATTACATATTATAATATATAGAATATTATAAAATATATATTATTAATAATGCATAATTAATATAATATATAATATTTGTCTAGATCGGGCTTCAGGCATGGGCTCAAGATCTAGGCCTGATGCTTGGGCCAGGCTTGATCTCAGGCCTAGTCATTTTCTATTTATAAAGAGGAAAAGCCCGGCCTGGGCCTACCTGTGTACAAGTCTACCCAAAACCGACCGACCATTAGTAAAAATTGGGGCCAACTCGGGTTGTATCAATTTGGTCAATTGACTCAAAAGATTTAAACTTAAAATGAATCTTAAATTTAAAAAATTATAGTAGTATTATTCAAAAATAAATAAATAATTTAAATGTATAATATAAAATATTTTAGACTAAGAAATATGGAAAATTTCCCACTTCCCATATTAAAAATTATATTTAAAATATAAAATATTGATATATATATATATAAGTCAGGTCACTTTGATTTTGGTCGGTTTACAAATGGCCAAATTGAAATTGACGCAACCTTGTCAAGTTGTGAATTGTTGAACCAAAGCTGACCGGAAAATACTAGAAAGCTTACCAACTCAAGTCAAGTTCAGGTTGGTCAGTTTCATTGATTTCATCAATTTGATGAACCTTCCTAACTGATATTAATTATTAATATTTTTGTGTTGCAAAAAACTTATTAAACAATTATATACTCTTATGTATTTGTATTGTTTAACTTCCACTTAACAAAACCCGTGCATTGCATGGGTCCTCATTAGTGTGTGTGTGTGTGTATATATATATATTTCTCTCTCTCTATGTGTGTGTTTGTGCGTGTGTGTGTGTGTGTATGAATGTGTAGTTGGACTGGGTTCGGACTACCTAAGGTTTAGACTCGGGCCCACCCTGAAAAATAAAAAAGCCTGACTTTTTGGGCCCAACCCCAGCCAAAGGACCAAAAATCCAAACTCAGCCCGTGTAAAGTTTGAGATTGGGCCAGTTCGGGCTCAGGCTGGACCCGCCCAAGTTGCACCCCTACGAGAAGGGAAGACAATGAAAATTGATATTGAAAAAATTCCAATTTGTTAATGGTTACCCACTAGATAACCATAACCCAGCCCACCCGAACCATTAATTTTTCCTTGATCTACCCAACCCCTGGGATAAAATTAAATGTATACAAACCAACCCGTAAATTAATGGTTGGGTTGGGCAGGCTAGCGGGTTGGGTTAAAAAATTGTTATCCCTAGCATTCTAGTTGAACAGTCTTTAGAAATGAAAAATTAAGTCCGAAAAGTGAGTGAAAACACAGTATGTTCACTTGTTTTTATATAACACAATCACATTTGGGAAAAGGGTAATAAATTACATATAGGTATCCTGTACTTCGGGGTTAGTGATAAATAGATATCTTGAACTTTCAATTGCAACAATTGAGTACCCTGAACTCTCAAAAATAGACACTTAAGTCCATCCATTAATATTCTGTTAGTTAAACATTATATAATGCCAAAAATACCCTTCTCATGTATTTCTGAGATCGTTCTCAGGTAACTGAATGTTTTCCCATGATGACATTTTCACACGGGCAGCAAATTACATATTCAAATTTTCTGATGATGGCATTCTATGGTGATGATTTTATTCCACTGAGTGATCTCAAAAATACATGAGAGGGGCATTTTTAACATTATGTAATGTTTAAGTGACGGTAGGGGTGGATTCGAGCCGAGCCGAGCCAAATAGCTAACTATTCGAGCTCGGCTCGCCAAGAAAGTATGAGGCTTGAACTCGATTCGAGCTAGAGACTTGAGCTCAAATTTGGCTCAAGTCAAAAACTCATAAGTTCGAACTCGATTGTGAGCCAAATGTTTTATAAAAATAAAAAATTGTATATAAAAACTATTTTTTATTTGATATTTAAAAAATAAGAATTATAATAATTAGTTATTATTATTATAATTATTATATATAAAAATAAAAATATTATATATGATATGTAATATTTTTATTTTATATATATATATATATATATATATATATTACTTTCTATATGTATAATATTTTTATATTTATTATTTTTTATATGTATGTATGTACGTAGAAGGTCAATTAGACTCATGAGCCTCACGAGTTGAGTTTTATTAGGCTCGAGCTCAACTCAATTAGCAAATGTGCCTGTAAATTGCACTCAAACTCGGCTCGAAGTTCGATTTAAATTGAGCTGAGCTCAAATAACTCGTGGCCACCCTCTGGTGTAATAGTAACGGATGGAGTGAAGCATCTATTTATTAAATTTCAGGGTAATCAAGTGTTGCAATTGAAAGTTCAGGATACTATCTATAATTTACCATTGAAAAAATTGATTACCGGTTTTCTTCAAGGACCCTGGGGGATTCCAAGGGTTAAGAAAAAGCTTTTTCACCGTTGAAATTAAATCCCTAGACACGTGGCCAAATTAAGGTAAAAACTTTGGAGGGTGGCTAAATGTAGAAACAAGGTGAAGTGGGGCAAGGGTGTGATCAGTGATGTGCAACAGAATTGTACATGTAACCACTGACTCTATATAGTAGAGTTATAGAGAATTCCAACTCCCAAATCCCAACTGGTAAGTTGTTAAGAATTAAAAGGTCTTTTCCGCCAATATAAGGTAAGTTGTTAAACACAAACTTTGAGAGGTCATATGAATGAAGTTCCTCCTTATTTTTACCCAAAAAACATGACATTTTCCACAGATTACATGGGAGTCTGGAATCTGGATATCCTAGACTAACCAATCAATATTCATAGAACGGCTCAATGCTCTAATGCGCCTACAGGACAGAAGCATGGTAAAATAGTAAATAATAGCAGTCTTGCAATGGGAATATCTCCCCATGAAATAAAATATTCCCGATGAAAGGCTGAAAAGACTATTCCAACGGACCTTGCAGTGACTGAAGCCGATCTCCACACACACACGTATAGCTTTGGTTTGGACTTGGAGGCCCTTGTCCAACAGTCCAACTCCACCACCAACCAAGTGACCAACTAATCCATACCAATTACCAAGCCCCAGAGTATCAAACAAAGGCTCCTTTTATTTAAAAAATAAAAATAGATGATTGTGATGCTGTAACCACCAAGACCTTGAACCGTTACTGGAACAATGTTGTGCTGATATTAATCAGAGTTGGAAACAGTCAACCAATAATTCCATAAAAAAAAAATAATAATAATAATTATTTAGGTAAAAGCTAGGGCGGTTGTGATTATGCCATTTAAAAAACAACAATGGCATTACATTACAATGTATTATGTAAGAGACTTGTCGGTGAGCAGACTAGAGAATCAGGGATGTGTTCATTGCATTTGCTATTAGGATTAGGGTAAATTAGATATAGATATTTATATCTTCGGGTCCTGAATTTTCAATTGCAATACTTACTACTTTGAACTCTCACAAATAGATATTTGAGTTCATCCGTTGGTATTTCTATCAGTTAAACATTATGTAATGTCAAAAATATGTTTTCATGGATTTTTGAGAGTAAAATCAACACCAGAAAATGCCCTTGTCAGAAAATTTGAGTTTGTTATTTGCTGTTCATATGAAAACATTGTGAGGAGATATTTGATAACCTGGAAATCATCTCAAAAATACATGAAAAGGGTATTTTTAGTATTATGGAATATTGATGGATGAACTCAAATGTCTATTTTTGAGAATTTATGTCTAATTTGGAAAGAGTACAAATGCAGCATAACATATATGTATTTGTACTCCTTCCAAACTCAGCCTCCGGATACTCAAATATTGCAATTGAAAATTTAAGATAAGTACCCCCAATGCATCCTATGTGTAATTTAGCCCAATCAGACCATGAGCTGAGCCTGAGGCTGACCTGCCTTCCCTTTTGGGCTTTCGGCCCATCACCCCCCAAGGCCCAACTCTAGAGCAAATTGAATTAGTGATTCGTAAACCCCTTCCAAAATTCCAAATTCCAATGCCGTTGCCGTTTCTGTTTTCTTCTCCTCTCAAAATTAATTAAATATATCAGATGACGGAACACCACGACCACCTCCCGAGTCCCAATTGATAGCCGGAGCAGAAGAAGAAGAAGAAGAAGATGGCTTCCAAAGAAGAAGAGCAAAATATCTGCCAAAAAGGAGAAGGAAAAGAGCTCGACGAAGAAGAGAGCGAAGAAGATGAGGATGACTTGACTACACATCAACTCGAAGATGACGACGAAGATGATGACGAAGAAGAAGATGAGGAGGAGGAGGAGGAGGAAGAAGAAGAAGAAGAAGAAGAAGAAGAAGAAGAAGAAGAGGAAGAAGAAGAAGAGGATCTCCACTCTCCTTCTCCTCCTTCCACCTCTTCTTCATCCCAACACAACACAAACAAGGGCACGCCTTCTACCGCCCCTATTGAAAACCCTACCACCTCCACCTCCGTCCCTGCCCCTGCCCCCGCCCCCACTGCTACCACCATCACTGGTACCTTTCCGAATTGCTCCGTCCTCGAAACTCCACCTGTTACCGACACGTCTCCCGACCCCAAGCGTCAACGGACCACCGAAGCCTCCGCTGCAACAAAAGAGAAGAAACCCGCCGTTTTCGATGACTCTCGCCGTCTGTTCCAGCGATTGTGGACTGACGAAGACGAGATCGGCCTCCTACAGGGCTTTCTCGAATACACGATACAGCGAGGAAAGCAAAATTCCTCGCATCACCATGACACGGCTCCCTTCTATGACCAAATCAAGACTCGATTACAGCTCGATTTCAACAAGAACCAGCTCGTCGAGAAACTCAGGAGGTTGAAGAAGAAATATAGGAACGTCGTCAGTCGGATCAGCTCTGGTAAAGATTTCTCCTTCAAGAGTCCCCACGATCAGGCTACGTTTGAGATCTCTCGCAAGATCTGGAGCGGCGTTGCCGCTAGAAGAGGAGGGGTCGACGAAGGCGGATTGGAAGATGATGAAGGAAACCCTCATAACAATAACAACAACCACCACAACAACAAGAACATCCGCAATCTTGACGACAATAGCAATACTAACAACAATGGTCTCGATACTAATAATTCTGAGAAGGCGGTCCCGACTCCGAGATCCCGAAAGCGGTCTCGTAAAAGGGGGCCGGAGGATAACTTAGCCAACTATCAAGGAACTTCTTCGGTCCACAATGTTATCGAAGATACGGTGAGGAGTTGCCTCTCACCTCTGTTTAAAGAATTGCTCTATTGCGCCATCAGTGGACCTTCAAACGCTGGAGGATATGCTGGTCAGGCGTTGAATCCGCTTCCTTTGAGTTTTGTGGGTAATTCCATTAACATTTCTAAAGAGGACATGGTTGATGAGAAGTGGAGGAAGCAGCAAATTTTGGAACTGGAGGTTTATTTGAAGCGGATTGAGTTGATACAAGACCAGATCAAATCAGTGATAGAAGAGCTGAAATCGATGGGAAGTTGACAGGAGTCTTTCTTGGATGCGGGCTACCATTTGTAAGTCTTCGGCAATCTGCTTATTTATTAACTTTCTTGGTCCATGATCCTTGTTTAATATTGTTGCAAGCTGCGACAGTTTGAATTTCTTTGTTTAAGCGACGTCCTAGAACAAACAGTTCAAAAATAACATTTTTTTCCCGGTGTCTATGTTCAATACATGTTCGTTTCAACTATGTAGTTTATGGTTTGATAAATAGAGTTGGAGAAATTGAAGCAGAGGATTTGGGCTAAATGTTTAGTTTACATAGTTCTTTCTTAGCAGTGTCTAGTTTCGTTTACATAGTTGCAGTTGTTTATTTGTATATTCTTCTGTAATTTCGTTTCCTTGTCCTTGAAATGCATGCCTTAGATTCGACAGGGTATTTATAATTTTCTAGTCAAACATTTCTATGTGGTTTTCAATTGGTCTTGTTTAGGAGGTTAGGCAGATAATTTCTTGTATGCAAGAAATATTTGCTTGAAGAGGTTACAGGTCAACAACATATCTACTGGAACGGAGAAGATGCATCTATTGGGATTATGAAGAACCAGTTGTTTCAGAAGTCATATGGTTTGCAGTACTAAATAATGACATTCTGGTTTTGTTATTATATTTTCAATTGACCCAATTCTTTGTTGTTTAGATGACTTATGGTAGTTTTCCTTTCTACCCTATGATTGCCCTTTGCCTCAATTTGAGAAAGTTTATTTACCAAAAAGGTTTTTGACCTAATTGTCTTGCGAAATTGGGCACCTTCATTTCATTTGTCAAAGGTCATAACGTTTCCTCATTTATCAAAGTTAATTATGTCTTTCTCTTCTTCCTCATTAATTTCTTTTCTTCAAATTGAAGCATGTCTATGCATTTCAGCCCACTTTGGGTTCACTTATTTTAAATGTTTATTTTGTTTCCAGGACATCTTAACATTTTAAACTGATTATATACATGTTCAAGCAAAGCATTTCATACTTCTGTTAGATTGTTCGAGTTATTTCTGGGTCTTTTGGTGCAAGGTAAGCATTGGTAAGCTTTGCTTGCTCGTATGCTAGAATATTAGGGTGTGAGATCATGGATTTACCTCTCAAATATATAGGCCTTCCTTTTTGAAGTAATCCTAATGTTCTTGATTCTTGAACTCTTAACTTTCAAAAATAAAAAAGAAAAAAAAAATCTTTCTTTGGTTCTTATTGGAACCAAGGAGACCCTAGGAAGGGCCATCTTATCTTCTAAGGTAGAAATTGTATATGAGGATTGGGGGTATTAGGTGATTGTAGGGCAGGGCTGCAGGGATGCATCTTTCTTATAGGGAAATGACTAGAGATTCTCCTGATAATCCTTATCTTGGTACTATGTGATCTTTACCTTTCATAGCAATTAATCCAGATGGCTGGAATATGGGCGTCAACAGCTCTCTAGGAAAGTCTAAGGTGGTCTGGTGCTTGTGAAGTCTAATTAGCTTGTCATTGTGAAAGCTTTAAAAGGTTAAAAGATTAAAGGATACAGTTGTTTTACACACTTACCAAGTGATATGTAGTGATTCAATCACTTTTTAATCAGAGCAAAATGTCAGACACAAGTAGACCTATTAGAGGCATAATCAAATTCATTAAAGGGGGTTAACCAGTTATCTTATTAGTTTCAGGTGTAAATAGCAATATTCTCCCGACTCCTAAAAAACACCTAAAACTTGTGTCAATTGGGTAGTATTGCACATGTATTGGCTTTGAAAGTATGGGGGATGGGTAGGGTTAATTAGGTTCCATCAAAGTAAACTTGAGATCCAGATTTTGAAAAGTAACCAACGTGATGGCTAAGTTTGTGTTGCACAGAGCATAAATAGACAGATTTAGGCCTTGAGAGGGTGAAACTCCTCTAGTGTCAAATTATGGCCAAGGAGCCTGGATGACTTGTCTAGTACAGAAAATGTGTCTGGAGGAGTCTCACTGTATAGACTCACTCCAAACAAGAATAAGAAGGGGAGTTATACATTAAAGAAAACTCTTGATTGTGCGTCAAGAGAAATTGCTAAAGGAGCTAAGTCCTGAGTGTAGTTGGATAATGTAGGTTATTTGCAGAACAAAAAAATTGAGGGGGAGAGTAGCTCTTATCCTTGGCTTAATGAAATATTGTCTCCTATTATTCTTTAATACTCCAACAGTTTTTAATTGCCACTGCTACCCTTTTAGTTTTGTGCCCATTGTTAATTAATTATTGGAGAGGCTACATTGGGACGAGCACCATGTTGGTGCCACAGACACTCCTCATGATAGGAGGTACTTTGCCTCCAAGGAACCGTTGCCATTGATTATCTCAGAACTATTAGTGTGACCACCCATTCTCCAATACAACCTATAGTTAACTCGGGTCGTGGCTATTCCCAGGAGCTGGTATTTTGGCATTGTAAAATTGACCGTTGGACCATGTTAGCCGTTTTAAAGAAAAGCACATATGGCTCCGCTGTATTTGTTGTTTGCATAACCAATGCTCTAGGCCTCTAGCTATTCAAAATTTTAATTTTAATATAATGCTTAGTTATTATGGATGATTTATCTTGCACGTGTGACAAGGTGAGATGGGCTTTCCATAATCAATACTAACTTTTCTGTATGTTTATTTTAGTGATTGGATTAGAGAAATTTTATTGATAGAGAATGAAAGTATAATGGTCAGTAAGGTTTCGGTCAATTAACTCTCCTCATCTGATGTCTATGCTCACATGGATGTTTAGTCCTATTACTGACCCAGTTGATAATAGATTCAGAGTCTCCTCCACCATTAAATCCATACACCCCATAGAACTGGCCAACAGCCGCAAGGTCTGTAGGAGTGACAAAAGTTCAGTTTCAGTCCATGTGAGGTTTCCTATCCCAATAGGACCGAAATAAGTCAGCATGGTGTCAGCATGGTATCAGCATGCAGTCATCATCTTGATTATCGGCCACTGTTGCTGGTTAGTGTAAGAACCCAACGCACTATCTTTGGTAAATTTACCTCAGTGACTGCAGTCTGATCAATGAATTCTGAAAACAAATGGATGAAAGAGATAAAACGGTGAGACAATTGTGTGACGGTGAATCGGTGATGTTGTGACTTGTGAATCACATAGTAGAATAAGAACAAGAAGTCTATTTCTCATTATCACGCAATGTATAGGAAATGTTCTCAAAGAGCTTCTTTTCAAGTTTCAACATGACCTTATCCGCCTTTCAAACGTTGTGGCATATAATAGTAAAAAGCTATCCAAATGTTATTCCACACTCACAAATTTGGAATCTTTTAATAAACCCTTGTTTTTGAGAGTCCTATGCATTTATGAAAACATAAGATCTCCATTTGGAAAGCATCTTAACACGTGTTCTTGAAGAACCTCATGTAAATACCTTGTTTCCCATTTGAGCAAAGTCCATCCATGCGTCATTAACGTCATATGCATCATGTGGGTTTCATATTGGCCTATTATCAATCAACTTATTAAAATTCAATTGATAATATAATTTCAAGACCAATGAATAGTATTATATTTTTATAGTTACAAGTGGGTCTTACAAAAAAGAATGATTCTCAAATGACTTAATAAATAATACCCTTTAAGATTTGGATAAATAAATTTCTTATTTAAAAGGGAAAATTGCTGACACATGATAGGACAATATTGTTTCTTTAATAATGATACTTTTATGGAAAAAAGAGTCATTATATAATTTTGTACGAACCAAAAGAACACTAGTAAATGCATTTATTCAGGTAAATGTTTTTCAGGAAACACATGCCTATCTGGATAGGTGCATTTATCCAAGTAAATGATTTACTGAAAAGTGAACAAAGCATAATACCGATACTTGAATTCATGTTTCTTTTATTTTCCATGGGACACGCCAACTTGCATTCCCTCATTTACCAAAAAATGAACGGGGCCTTAATTCTCAAGTATTTTTATGTTACAATTTAACCTCTTAATGCCAACATGATTTCAAACCAGCACATCTATGTTTATGGAGTAAGGTTTAATTGAATGCTTTAGCTGTTCACCGCGTTGTGGAACCAATGATGAGGTTCCATGCCAGTATTAAATTCATGGGGCGGGCCCCATGTATTTATTTTGAGTTGAGAAGGGCATGGCTGAATGTAGGGATGCATACGGACAGATCATACAGACCGGATTAATCAAGGTATATCTAAGCTCGATCCAATCCAAAAATTCAATCAGATCTCACAAATGGCAATTTGAGTCTGAATCCATCAAGGATGTCAGATATCCAAGTCTGATCCCGACTTGAATTATGAAAAATTTTAAAAATTATAAGTATTTTTTCAACTATTTCCATCATATATATTAATATATACATGTATTTTTATAAAAAAAATATTACAAAAATTGCAATATAAACACATTTATAAACAAATATATTAACATATGCATGTCTTTTATAAGTAAATATTATGTTGGATCGGATAGGGGGGATTGGTTGATCCAAGGTTCAAAATACCGGCTAGTATCGGCCAATACGTATCATACCAGTGACTTTCTGATACACCTCTACAGGGGTTGTAGCAGGTCAGACCATGGTTGAGGGTAGCTGGGACTTAAACCGACTCTAAACTGGTTTTGAAAAAATAAATAAATAAAACATAAAAAAAAGCACCGATACACCTTGGGTTGATCAGAATCCGATCAATTAGATCCGATTATCTCGATCCAGAGGGTTATCAAAATCCAATAAAAATAGGGTCGATATAGAGCTATAGCTGAATGCTGATGTGCCCTTGATTTGTGCTCGATTCCTAGCACGAGGGCATAACGGCAATGATTTTCCAAGCCTCAAGGACGGTAGTGTTTCACGCTCCTTCTACTAAATTCCAAAGCCAAAGACCATTTCTTTAACTCGAAGGAATTTGGTTATCAAATGCCAGTTGCAACTAGCGATTGATAATACAAATGCAAATAAGCAAATACCAGAAACAATCCTATACAAAGAACCATACTAATTGCGACTTGTGGGACACTATCTATCCCTTCAAATGCCCATTTTGGACGGAGGATCACAGTTGTGTAGCTATTCATCTCAAGGCCTCAAGCTTCAAACTACGATAACTGTTCGAAAGAAATAAAATTCTAGATTATTCACATGTCACATGGTCCTCAGGGTTATGGGTACACCATAGAGTGAATGCATCCGATATGTATCGTATTGGCCCCCTCATATTAAATGTTTCGGGGTCTGATCTATTTCAGGACCCCTGAAGTGGTTTGGTAAAAATGGTAATGCTAGGCCAACCATGATACAAGTACATTGCATCCATGATTGGATCGGCTGCCCAAAGCGCATCCCCTCCGTGCACTGGAAACATCTCCCGTGCTTGTCATTGGGAGATATTCCCAATGCACGGATGGGATGGGCCGTGAGGGGCGCACTTTGTGGGCAGCCGATCCCGTCCACATCTAAGCACTCTATGCACAAGTTCAAGTTCAACATGAAAGTATTCAGTCACTTGCCCATGCTTTTTGATAGCGTACAGCTGAATACCTTAAAGTATGCAGCGAAGGTGAACTGGGATACAAGTAGCATTTATCAGTTGTCAGGCAACATCATCTGAAAGACTGAAATTCACAAGCACACACCGTCTAGAACAAGTTTAAACTTCCACAAACAAGTGTCCGACAATCAGTGTGAAGTCCGAGGCTCCGAGCAAACATCCGAGGTCATAACATAAATAATTTTAATTTACATTACCGCATGAACGAACAATTCTGCGAGTAAGGAATTAAGTAAAATGCTAAAAGTACATCTAATTCATTCAAATATGATCCTCGACAACACTAAAAGGTTCAGTCTCCACCATGTTTTTTAGTTGTTCAGTAATAGACAGATTTGACTATTCCTCATCGCTGTCATTACCAAAAACTGAGGACACCGTTGGCTTTACAGGTACTCTTGATTTCTTTGCAGCGTTGCCGAATGAGTTCTGATGAAAATTAATACAGTGACTATTAGTTGGAAGCAACATTATCCTCACTTCACAAGCTCTAAAATATCAGATGTAATTGAAACAAGTTCGGATGAGAAATTGATGAAGAATTAATTGTACAGGAATAAATATCACCATCACTTCAAACGTAAAAAATATGTCAACATGATATTTACAGCTCAAAAATAAGACTTTCACCCTTAAAGGCTTCAATAATTATCCAGCTGAAAAATAAAAGCAACAATTTACTGTAACACTCGAGACAGATTAAAAAAATATACCAACAACTGCATATAAAGAGTACCAAGTAGAACCACCAACCGAGGGCTGGCTCGTTGGTGTATTAGCTGGTTTGTTCCAATGTTGACGCGGAAACAAATCCCGCAACCAGCCCAAGGGGAAAAGGGGTGAAAGGGAAGTTATTAATGGTGCATGGAAGATCCCAGTGAATCCGATATGCAAAAAGGTTCTAAGAAACAGCACGTAGTTCTCTCAATTTTTATATTTTGATTCAACAGTACCCAGCTGCTTCCATGATTTAAACCATCTTGAAGCAAAGTGAAAAAAAAAAAAAAACATTTTTCAAACTAGACATTTACAAAACCATCATGGTAGTATTGTAGTATTATTATAGAACTTAGGGCTGTTGGGTTGGGTCTGACCCGATGGTTCCAGACCGATTAGACCAGTTCTGGTTCCAGGTCTTGTCCCAATGGGTTGGTTCCAATTCCTAATATTTTTTTCCCGATTATTATCGGGTCGGAACCAGGTCCACCATGTCCCAAACCAAGCCTATATATAATTATATATAGGGAAAAGTTCTTAAACTACCCTACAGTTTAGCTAATTGACTAACTATACCCTTACCCTTACTGTTTAACTCTATTGTCTTGCACCACCCCTACTGTTTCTGACAATTGACTAGCCCTACCCTTGCCGTTAGTGTCTGTTAATGTTCCATTAAAACCCATACACACGTGACACCACGTGACATGTAAACTTTTTTAAAAATCCAATTTTACCCTTCGTCCTCTCCCTCTCCCTTCTTCTCCTTCACCCTCTTCTTCCTTTCAGCAGCGGCAAACCGAGCCAATTAGGGCCCATCCAGGAACTTCCGATCACGGCAATGGCAGGGATCTTACTCTATACCATAGCTACGATATCAGACTCTGACACCACAACAGGGAATTCGAGGAACACCAGTCGACTTGGAAAAGACCACTTTTACTTTCCAAACTAGTTCCCAACCATGGCAATGACAGAAGGCCATCCGGTCAGTCGACTGGAAAAGACTAACAGACATCTGAACCATCCGTTTTTTCTTCACCTTCAGAGCATCTTGCCTCTTCAATTCGGAAGCCACAACACTGTTCGGTAGATCTGTCCTTCGATCTTCTGCCTAGCTTTCTGAGATGCTCGGCGCCGGAGTATTGGTGGATGAGCGACAAAAAGGACGAAAGGAACAATGCCATTTGAAGAACCTTTGTTAACAATGGGTTGATATTTGTTGATACAGCAGCAGCGGCGGAACACCACTAAGAAAATGGTGAGAAATCACCGAACGTCACCAATGTCCAGTGGAAGGAAAGGAGAGGGAATCTGAATGGATGGTCCTCCAACTTGTGTCACATTAGAAACCGGAGACACTCTTCCATCTCTCCTACCTGTAGGAATCTGAATGGATGGTCCTCCAGCCTGTGTCAGATGAGCCTCATCAGTTTCTTCACCATCATTCCTTCAATTTTATTTGGGTGAGAGAGTACAAATTCAACAGCATCTCTTGCAGCCGCACAAGAAACATTTTCTGGGCAGAAGAGTTCAAGCAAGCCTTTGGCCAACTCCACCACCTAGAATCCCCCAAGCGATGCTTGGCTAGATCATCCCTCTATCTCATTTCCTTCCAATAGCACAGAGGCATCACAACCCTACAAGGTAAAAATGCAGTGTTACAAAAAGGGACTGTCCTAGAAACCAGGTTTTGAGCTAGTTGAGATTCACTGACCTCCACCATGCAGTCATGGAACAGTAAACGGAGGAGTTTTGCAGGGATTGTTGGATCATCAGTTGAAGCCGATCTCACTGTGTTTTTCACCATGGCTTCTGCCGTTGGGCATGAAGCTGCATAGAAGTCGAAGAGGAGACCAGAAGAAGCTGGAAGGGAGAGGTAAAGAGAGTAAGGATGAAAATGATGTGGAGAAGAGCAGATGGAGAAAAGGTTATAAGCTTTGGGTCCATAAACAGAAGGTTTGAAGGATCTGTCCAAGAGAGCAATGTGCACTCTGAGTTTCATTTACTTGCTTATTACTATACACAGCAAGAGAGAGAGAGAGAGAGAGAGAGAGGGAGAGATGGGAGAGCAGATCAAGGTTTTCCGCCAGCTCTATTTGGTGTTGCGACCATGAAGAAGCTGAACAGAGCCCGGCTAAAGTCGATGACAGGGGGACGAAAACTGTGAGAAGAGAAAAAGAAGAAAGAGAAAAATAAAAGAGAAAAATGAAAGAGAGACTAGAGGTTGGCCACGCCCTTGGCATCATTTTTCACATATGAGAGATTTACCCACTTTCACAAGCGGCACGGCCACCAGTTATCAGCAGAGAGAGAGAGTGTGTATTTTGCTCCCCCGACGGTGTGGTTGGTAGACGGAGATGAAGATGGAGACAGAGACAGAACAACGATCTGCTACTTATCTTCCTGAAATTTGGGTTTTATTTTGAAAATTTGAGCAATAATGGAGGGCAAATTTAACATTCCAGCACTTAACGACAATGTCAATTATCAGAAACAGTAGGGGTAGTGCAAGACAATAGTTAAACAGTATGGGTTTAGTTAGTCAATTAGCTAATAGAGGTGTAAAGTGGGCTGGGCCGTGCTGGGTACGGCTCGCGCAAAGTGCGGGCTGGGCCGTGCTGGCCCACGGGCCGTTACAAGTTGTGTCGCCCTCCCTGGTGAAAAGTTTGGGGGTTGGCCCAGCACGGCCCAGGCCTGTGCGGGCCCGTGGGCCAAGCCTTGGGCCAGGTCGTGCCATGCATCGGGCCCAAAGCTATTTATTTATAAAAAATTGACAAAAAACTTAAAGTTTTAATTTTATATGAATTGTGTATACAATTGCTTATATATACAATAATTAAATAAATCAGTATAATAAAATTAAAAAAAATTATTTATTTTGTTAATATATTATATACTATATATTATTATATAATTATAATTATATAATATTATATAAATATATATATAAATAATATATATGGGTCGTGGCACGAGCCGGGCTGGGCGGCCATGCTGGCCCACGGGCCGCGGGTGGCACGGCCCGCTCGGTCGTGTCATGCCATGCCAGGCCGCGGGCAGAACGACCCGATTTACACCTCTTTTAGCTAAACAATAGGGGTAGTTTAAGAAATTTGCCCATAATAATTAATAAATTATATGCATGTAATATTTAAACAAAATATGTCTAAAATGTAGGGGTGTCAACCGTATTCGAAAATCCGATTTCGAATTCGAGATTTGACATAATTGGATCGAATTCGGATAATTCGAATATCTAATCGATCGAATTCGGATGACCTGATTCGATTCGATAAATATCCAAATCCCGACCGATTATTTCATTCTTATATGTAATATATAAAATTTTTAAATGTTTTATATAATTTATATATATAATAATTAAATTATATAAATAATTTATATATTTATATGCGTTATATAAATAAAATATTTATTTTGAATATTTATTAATTACCTAAAATAATTAATTAGACGAATTCGAATCGAATCGAATATTTAATCGGATTCGAATTCAAATATTAATTTTCAATATCCATCGCATATCGAATTTTTTTTAATCAGATTCGAATTCGGATATTGCCTGATCCGATTCGAATTTCGTCCATTTACACCCCTACTAAAATGGTCATTTCGGCAGGGTTTCATTCAAAACCTTAACGAGATGCCATTTCACATTTACTTGCGGCTTGCCCCTTTTGTTTCTTCCCATTGAAAGGCAAAGTCTGAATCAGTGAAAGTGTGAAACTTGGGAAAGAAAACAGAGAAAGAAAGTCCGACCAACGCCCTCCAACGTCGAACAGCAAAGCATGATTCTGTGAACAGAGAAAGACCGACACCAAACAGAGAAAAAAAGGTCAACGCCATACATTCGTTCGTCCGTCAGCAATCTCTCACGATCACGGGCCTCACCGTTGTTTTCTCCTCACAAAAATACAGAGTCAATGAGTCACAACATAGGTTTACATCCTCATTCTCTCACTGCCATTTCTCATACATAGACATAGTGCACTTTTCTCCTTCGGTTTCTTCTAAGAAAAATAGGGACCCCGCCCCATTTTGATCTTCATCCCATTCTTGTCTTTTTATCAACATACTTATTATAATCGGGTCCACCAGGTTGGACCCAATTATCCCAAAAACCGATCGGTTCGGTTCTAGGTCCCAAATTATGGGTCTAGGTCGGTTCTGGGTCCACGAATTTTCTTATCGGTTCGAGACTGGTTCTACCAGGTTCCGACCCAAAACCAACCCGCTGACAGCCCTAATAGAACTTCACCAAGTCTGCTGGTGAAGTTCTACAATGAACTATCATTTCAGTAGCCTACTAATGAACTATCATGATGGTATAGTCTCAATAGCAGTTGAAAAGCAACAATGACTCACTTAAAAGTGAGAACATGCCTACACATTTGGGGATTAATTGACTTTTCCCTTTTTCAATAAAAGGACTCTAGTTATCTCCCTTGCTATTTTCAGGAATATGAAAGCCAGAAACATCGATGGTTGTTCTTCTTGCATGTACCTAATTACATATATGACATGACATGATAGAGGTGCATCACATCCAGTTTGGCTTTATGCTAGGAAGACCAAAATTCGAAATTATCTCTTTTCCACAGGTGACGATTGAAAAGCTAAAGAGAAAGACAGGTGGATACTTCAACTTATCTCTCGTCCAAGGTAACATAAGTAGGGCCTCATGGAATGTCTGGACCTACTATGTACCCAGATGGCCTTATCATGGTGGATACTTCAACTTTTGCTCTAAATTCTGCATCTGACACCTTGGTCAGCCTGTCCTAGCTGTATTTGTATAACACAGATCAAGAGGCAAAGGAATTTCAAGACAGAGGTATACTCATAGTTGTCAAAATCTTACAACTTACAATATTATTTAAAATTTGAATTGTGTGTCCCAAGGGTTTTGAATCTTACAATTACCATTTTAATCCTACAATTTAATTCTTAAATTTTAGGATTTATACAATTCTTAAATTTTAGGATTTGAATAAATTCAATTGAAACCCAATTCTCTAATTTTTTGCTCCTCAATTTTTAACTTTTTAATAGAATTTTATTTTAAAATCCTTACGGATTTGAAGGATTTGTCTAGGTTATTTAAGACCTATTTAGAAACCTTATTGAGTTCATTTTGAACTATTCAAGTCAAACTTGATTTAATCATCTTATGCTTCTAGTGTGCAAATGGCTAAACTCTATTGTGTCAAGTAGATTAGACTAGAATGGAATTAAATACAGTCACAGATAATAGCAATGTGGAATGCTTCAGAACAAAAGGTCATAAAATGGGTACAACTGAGACAAAATATACACAACACAAATTTAATGGCGGCATGATTAAAATTGGTTAACCATAGATTACCTTGAAGCTATCATTTTCAGTGCCTAATAGTCTGTAGTTAAAGAGAAAAGATGATGTTGACATAGAACTAGAACTGGTAAGCAAAATAGATCTCATCCGAACCAGTAGTGATTGGTGTGCCAGTCAAATAGAAAGGCAAGTTTTATAAAACTATTGTAAGTTTAGCAACTTTATCATGAAGTACAAGGTAATCAAAAGGAAACATGGGGGTCACCTTAGTAGGTACAAATAAGAGAAAGTAGACTTCTACCCAAAAAAAAAGAAAGTAGACTAAAGTTTAACCTTGTTCAGGGAAGATCATTTATTGCACTAATTAAAGATAAACTTATGAGAGTAAACGATTTTAAGGGAGTGGAGGGGGAAGTCCAAATGAATGTGAGTCAAGGTAGTATTAGAAGATCTAACCACTCAATTTGATTGGACATAGCCCTTATGTGAAGAAGGGGTAAAGAAGCACACTGAGTAGCAGTAAAAGATCTCAGATATCATAATTTGGCTGAAGTGGCTCCTGATAGAGTGGGAGTCCAGATCTGCTGACCACAACACATAGCTGGCCATGTTCACCCAGCCGCACATATGGAACATTGGTTGTGTTGTGGTCACCGACATTCTCAACGTGCGGCTAGATGAGTGTGGCAAGCAACGTGTTGTGTCAGTAGATCTGAGAGTGGAATAGTAAAACAAGATTCTAGTTCATCATGAATGGTTCGTCTGTGTTTCTGTGTGTCCTTGGCTAAGGCAGATTATAGATCCTGACCACCTTAATAGAAATAATTATCCAAGGCACAAGGCAACCATAACAGATTAATTTGGTAGTCAGATTATTAGTATCCGGGCAACATAAATCAAATAATAGCAATAAAAGGGCCAAGAAATTCTGTGAAGCATATATGCTGCTTTCTCATACCTTGGATGAACCAGGCTTAGAGGAAAAGCCAAATTTCAATGCCTTTCGCTGATCTTGATCTGCAAGTGCAGTTGCAGTTCTCAACGTGGTTGAAGGAGTTGTTCCAGATTGATCGTTCTGTTGCTTCTGTTGCTTATGGGCATCCGCCCTTATTGAGGGGTTAAAGAGATCAAAAGCATGATTTCATTTAAACCTCTAGGAAAAATAAAGAATACGAGATAAAAAATAAAATAATTTAGTGATAATAACTAGAGAAAAACTATTAGAAACATAAGGAAACATATGCATGGATACATCTGAGCAAACTTGGCCATCTCCCTCTCTTGGCGAAGTTGTTCGCGTTTTTTCCGATCATCACGATTGTTAGTACTATGCATTTCTTTCATTTCTTTGAACCGCTGCAAGTGTCATAAGAAAGTATTATCATAAAAAAATATATATCTATCATCATTTCTGTTTTCAATGTATTCTACAAAGATCTACACATTGTATAAATTGAATGGAAACTTTACCTTTCTGTGATTGTGATCATACGAGCTCAGATGAACCTCAAATTCCATAGCAAATTTGTACTGTTTGTTGCAGAGATCACAGTAGAACACTTTTTGTATTTCTTTCACCTCAGTTTGGATTTTTTGCTCTCTTTCTGCCATCACCTGGATTTTCATCATGTGCACGAAGCAGGCAGTAGAAGCCACCAGGTAATAAAAACAGCACGAAATTCTCAAGACCCTCCAAAGTTGTTCCCTTATGATATACAATTCCCGTCAAAAGACATATATGCTACATGTTGCCTTCTACTATTAGATGTAGGTTTCAAAAAAGCAATGCATCAATCTTGGAATATTGGATGATAAAAAACATTTGCAGAAACATGAATTGTTTTAGTAACATACCTCCCGCTTCTTCGCATTCTCTTCAGTCTCCTCTAACTCTATATCAAGTTTCTTACGCCGAACATTTTCTTCTGCAGTAAAAAAGTCATCTTGCTCTTGCTTCCCCACTCCTAATTTGTGATCTCTAATTCCAGCTTTTATTGGTTCAACTATTCCTGCACATAATCCACCAAAGAAAAAAAAATAAAAGAAAAGGAATACAATTAATGTTAATATGCTCTCCCTTGGAACCAAACGAATAGGAAGTCATGTAGCATAGATACAGACATAGTACAAAGGATAACCTTAGATCAGAATACGAGAACCAATTGTAATTTCTCAACAGTGGATAAACTAAGGGACCAAGAGGGTGTTCACCAATGTTATGATTTGTTTTCCAAAACAGAAACAATTTTTCATTGTTGTTTCAAAACAAAACAATTGCCACATCAGCAAAATAATATGATTTTTCTGACCAAGTTTTTGTTTTAAAATACAAAATCATACGTGTTGAAAAACACCCCTAATTTTTTTAGAGGGGTTCCTTGCAAAGAAGTCTGAACTCTACTTTCATCACCCTTATTCCAAAGATTGAAGGTGTAGTCAACATAAAGGGATTTCACGCTGATTAGCCTTCAGCATAGTTTTTATAAAATCTTGGCAAACGTGATTGCTGAAAGATTAAAAGGAGTACTCGGCAGTGTCATCTCAAACAACCAAAGTGCTTTCATTCTGGGAGGCAGATGTTGGATTCAGTGCTTATTGCCAATGAGCTCATTCACTCAAGGAAAAAAGAAGGTTCCCCAGGTTTGATTTGTAAACTTGACATTGAGAAGGCCTATGATCATGTTAATTGGAGATGTGTGGACCTTGTGCTGCATCAGATGAATTTTGGGCAGAAATGGAGAAATTGGATTAAAGTTTGTATCACTTCTCCAAAGTTTTCAGTCCTGGTAAATGGGCAGACTGCAAGTTTCTTTGACAGTTCCAGGGGCCTCAGGCAGGGAGACCCCCTATCTCCTCTTCTGTTTATTTGTGTAATGGAGATCCTGACTTTATTCTGCAATCCTGACTTTATTCTGCAAGAAGGTTGCAAGCTCGGGAGAGTGGGCTGGTTTTGCTATGGTGTTGGGAGGAAAGAAGGTGAACATTCTTCGATTTACAGATGATACTCTATGTTTTGTGGATGCCTCTCCCTCTCAGGTGGAACTTGTCCTTGGAACCCTATCTTGGTTTGAAGTGATTACAGGGCTAAAAGTAAACTGGAAGAAGAGCCAAATCATCCCAATTGGCTAAGTCTCTAACTTAGCTGAATGTTCAGATATTTTGGCTTGTCAGATTGGTTCCCTCCCATTTAAATATCTAGGCCTCCTGTTAGGGGTTAGTGGTGGTTCCTTTGCAATTTGGGACCCAGTTATTGAGAGATTGGAAAGGAAGCTGGATTCTTGGAAGGCAAAATATCTTTCTTTTGGGGGGAGGTTGACTCTGATTAAGAGCACTCTCTCCAATTTGCCTACCTATTTATTGTCTCTGTTCTATATTCCTAAGAAGGATGCAAATCAGATTGAAAATTTTCAAAGGGACTTCCTTTGGAGAGGCTGAGAGGAGGAAAAGAAAGTGCATTTGGTGAGTTGGGAGCAAGTTTGCCTCCCGAAATCTGAGGGGGGGCTAGGCATAAGGAAGCTGAAAAATTTTAACTCTGCTCTGCTTGGTAAATGGATATGGAGATTTGCTGTAGAGCCTGATGCTTGGTTGAGATCTCTCATTGCTAGTAAGTATGGTGTGAGTTGGGGAAACTGGAGTACAAGGGATCCTCCTCATAACTAGGGTAGTTCCCTTTGGAAAGGGATTATGAAGACCTATTCAGATTTGGTAAAGGGAGTCTCAATAAGGGTGGGGAATGGTAATAGGACCAAATTCTGGAAGGACCCTTGGTGCTCAGATGTTCCTCTTGCTGAGTCCTTCCCACTCTTATTTCAGTGTGCATCAGATCAAGAGGCCTCGGTTGCCGAGTGTTATAGCATTTCGAGTGGTTCAGTTCTTTGGATTCCCTCTTTCMGCAGAAATCTTTTTGATTGGGAGGTGGAAGAGGCAGTAAATCTCCTGTCATGTCTCCAAAATCACACTCTGGATTATAATTTGGACGACAAATGGTTTTGGAGGTGGAATTCAGATGGTCTGTTTTCTGTTAAATCCCTGGCTGCTTTGATTGGAAGGAGTGGGTCTGATTTCCCAGCTTGGAAAATATGGAATCCAAACAGTCCGACAAAAGCATGCTTCCTTGTTTGGACCATGGCTCTAAATAAGTGTCTTTCCAAGGAAAACCCGGTGAGAAGAGGCATTCAGATCCCAGACCTGTCTTGTAGTTTATGTGGTTGCAGTATTGAATCCACTGATCATTTGTGTATACACTGTCCGTTTTCTGCTCATTTATGGAATCGTCTCTTCAACATTGTGAAGATTGGCTTGGTGATGCCAAGGTCGGTTAAAGAGTTGTTAAACTGTTGGCAGATTAAGGGTTTGAGCAAGAAAAGGTTCTCTGGAAGCTGATTCCATTTGTGGTTATCTGGTGCATCTAGACTGAGAGGAATAGAAGGGTATTTAATGACAAGTCTCTTAGTCCGGAGGATCTATCTCAGAAGTTGGTGGGCAAGTTGATTTTGTAGCTGTCTGTGACTGCTGAATTTAGTAATTGTATTGTATCAGATGTGTTATTTTCTGTTTCTTGATGGCTCATGTAATTGCTGTTTTAGATCAGTCAGCCATTTCTGGGACTGATCTCAGCCTCCTGTGTGTATCTTTTTCTTAATAAATATTACTTTACCTTGTCAAAAAAAAATACTTTGTTCTCTTCTGTCAATTTTTGCATAAGAGATTTTTTAAGGCTAAAGTCAAATGTTTAACAAGACACGTAACTCTTAGAGTCCAATGGATGGACAGGTCAGCAAATACTTTGGCTAGCTCTCTTGCTAAACAAGGGTCCTCTAGGGATGTGTTATTTTGGACAGCTTTGCCATCTTTTTTCTGATTTTTTGTAATGCTTAAGAGAGGCTGCACCTTGCGCCTCTCCAAGGGATGCTCGTAAAGTCTAACTCTGCTTGATTAATGAATTTAATTTTCAATTATCAAAAAAAAAGGCAGAAGTATAAACCTAGAAGACTTAAAAGGGAGAATCCTTCTCTTAGTTTTCTCTTGGATGCTGGACAACAAGCTCTTCAGAGGCATATTGCAAAGGACTCTGGAAAGGAATTTGTTCCAAATATTGCAATCCTCCAGTTTCACTCCAGCCTACATGAACAGTTTACATCCTAGGCCTCCCACTGATTTTTTTTTCTCCAGTTTGACGGCAGCTTTAGAAGCCTAAGCAATCAAAGGGGTGAGGCTGGTATTGGAGTTCGGATTCTAAGCGCTAACGGTGATCTGATCTTGGCCCTCAGCGGGCCAATTAGTGTAATAGAGGCTACTGAAGCTGAGATTAGGGCTCCCCTTGAAGGTTTGAGGACTGCTTCTCTACTTGATCCCCCTTTGGTGGTGGTGGTGAAAGGAGAATCTAGGAACATGATCAGAATTGGTTGGATGAATAACTCAAAAATTCACCCTAGGAGAATTAATCATGTTCTCAATGTGATCCATTCATTGCTACTTTAGGTGGATCCCTAGAGATCTTAATTGTGTGGCAGATAGTCTAGCCAAAACTGGGATCTTTTTGCACGTGCACCGGGGGGGGGGGTCTTTGGATTCTTGTGGTGCTCTCTAGTTTGTAAACAAATTAAAAAAAAAAAAAAAGCCAAAAATATTATCAATGGAAAGATGGTGAAGCCATTTTCTTTTGGGGCTTGTCAGTCCTAATATATTTTCATAACTAAGCAATGACATTTAAGATCTCTCCAAAGGCAGAAAATATGGAAATTGAAGACCTTTGCTAACAAACTGCATTTCAGTGATTGATCACTACAATCAAAACTTTCATTACCAGCACTAAAATGGCATTATTAGGGCTGATAACATGGCATCTCTCTAAAGCCAGTCATAAGTAGTATATTTGGGATGTTAGGGCATGGGTCATAAGTGCCATCAAGGATTAAAGTATCAACACCGATATCGGTGTACCCAGATAAGCTTGGATACACCAATACACAGATTTTTTAAACCATTTAAAAGGTCTCAGACCTCTTCCTCAACTCCCTGATCATTACAAAATAAAAGAAAAAATAAAAAAGCATTAGTATCAGCCATATCGATACACACCGATACCCATGTTTGGTTTTCAGGCATATTGATATTTTAATCCTTGAGTGCCATAGTCTCATAGTTTAATTTAATTTATTGGCAGCAAAGAAATTTTAGTCACTAAGCTAGAAAGTACTAGACTTCATAGTGACCATTCCTAACCTTGTTGTCATTCTGCCTGTTGCTTCGCTAAATCTTGTGATCCAAGTTTATATGGTCCATGTATGTGTATGAGAGAAACTTGGAGGTTACTGTTTCTCTCTTCTCTTGTTCTGATGTCTTTAGCTAATAAACTAGAAAAATGCTTCCAAAATTCATTCCATTAACAAAGCGTTATTTTCATCATAGTAGTGAACAAGATGCTTCAATCATGGAAACAGAAAGAAGAATAAATAAACATGGATATTATAATAGCAAAGTGCAGTGAGTCATCAAGTCTTTGAGTGCTACTTGCACCATGGCATCATGCACTATTGCCAAAAACAATAAATAAAGACAGATATATGATAAAAATGTCTTACAAAAACATCCATTCCTTGAAGGAATGGACAAAAGAAAAGGTAAAGTAGGAACAGAATTAAAAATAGGGAAAAATTCCAGATAAGCTAATAAGGTAATGCATATTAACAGCTTATAAAAAAACATACTAACATTACAAAAATAAACCTTCGTGTCCAATCAGATTAGGAGAACAATATTCAAAAAACTCACACTAGGAGAGCCAATGGCTATTACTATCAGTAACTACAGGTTTTTCTAGACTAAAAACAAGAGACAGTTTTATAGGATAGAAGAATAAGGGAGTTATTTTACTACATCCTTTCCTGATTGATATCAAGAGACAGACTTTCACTAGAATAGAGTAGAAGGAAAAGTGCATTCACTAACAAATCATGCAGTATAAGAAGTAGTTGTTCCCTTTGTTGCCAAATGAAATGTATACCTTGCTCATTTTTACCAAGGCCCTTCCCTTTCCAGCCCATTTTTTGGAGAAGCCTAAAGCCAATGTTAGATGATGTTAGCTGTGTGTCCAGAGATGCTTGCTCCACATTATCTAGGTCAAGATTTTCAGTAGGCCTGTGTTCAATTGGAAGACGAAAATCCTCTCCCAGATCCTCAACGAGTGAATTTTCATATGACTATACCACCAAAATTTACTCAGTATAAGGATCATTCAAAAAGAAAATGAGAGAGAATTTTGAAAATGCTTAAGATCTAACAACTCTTTTCACTTTCATAACATTGTAGCAGAAAATAAAGATATAAGATTCAGCAAAATCTTCATGTTAGGGATAGATATGACAGATTTGATGCATAGACCTCAATAGATTTTGAAAACAGATTTGAGGCAACTGCAACATTGCCTAATTCTTTTGGATGATCTATATCTCTTTTCACTTTCGATAGATAGTTGGTTTAAGCAGTATATCATATTCATGTAGAGGATAAGGGGGAAACAAAAAGAAGAAATCATTTTTTATCTATACTATATATAAAAGTGTGGATGTAGTGTGAAACTTTTTTTGGACTAAAATTACCCTCTATTTCTTTGTTTGAGAAAGGGTATAAAAGTCATTTTATTATAGTTTTAATGCCCGCTTTAATGGCTACTACATAGGCCATATTTGTGTATTTGATCTATTTCTAATTGTAAGGGTTGAAAATGTAACTTCAATTAGTACTTTCCACCTCATTTAATCCCCTCTCATTATGTCATATACTTAAGGTATTAAATCCCATTTTCTATTATTAAATCCTATATTTTTAAGTTATTTTTCACAATTAAATGCTACTAATTAGATCTATGTCAATATTCATAACAACATAAACCAGTGCTTTAAAAGCACAAGGCGCAAAAAAAAAGCGTAAGGGCCAATTTGCACCTAAGGCTCGCGCCTTTTTGAAGCAGGGTGCAAAAAATACAAAAAAAAAAGTGCCAAAAAATTAAAAAATATTAAACATAATATTAATAAAAAATATAAACATAAATTTTAAAATAAATGTTTTATAAAACTTATTATCTAAAATTAAAATACATAAGCATAACATGTAAAGAGTATTCAAATGAAAATTTAAAAATAAAATCAAACATATAAAGTATTTTCAAACATGTAAAACCCACAATCTCATTTTTTCTTCAATTGCATTACTTCAAGTAGCTAAAGTGATGTAAAACATATTGCATTCCTGATTCTACGAGCCGCCTTTGTACCATGTCCCTCGAGGCAAGCCCAAACAAGTCCTGAAGTTCATGCTAGGATCTTAAGTTATTAATTCTCAATTAAAAAAAATGATTTTATAACTTTATAACCTTTTAAGAAGATGTTTTATTAGAATGAATGAATGAACAACATTAGCAAATAGGGGGTTCTCGGAGCTACGATCTAGATCTGTTCATGGGCTGGGCTTTGTTTCTGTATTAAATAGAATATACTCAGGCCCGAACCCAAGCCCGGCCCAACCATCAAGCCTAGGTCTTGAGCCGAGCCCAACTCTTATATATACCTCGAAGCCCGAGCCCAAGCCCGAGCCCAGCTAGAAAATTGGAAAAAGATTTTTTTCCTTTTTTTATTCAATAAAAAAACTGTTTTATTTATATTAAAAGGCCTCAAAACCTAAAAAATCAAGAAAGATCTCACTATTACTTGAAAAAAGAGAATAATAAAGAAAAAATATTATATATAAATATATATGATTATATACAATATATTTTTATTATATCATACATTATCAAGTCAGGCTCGGCTCGGGCTCAAGGTCGGGCTTTTTTGAGAAAGCCTAAGCCCAGCCCCAAAAAAGGCCAAGCTCGGTGTTTTAGGTCCAAACCCAAGCCCACAGGCCTGAAATCCTATCTAAGACCAACTTAGATCGAGTCGGACCGGGGCAGCAATTGGGCTACCTGGGCCATGAATAAATCTACTCCTATCCTAGCCGCTAGGTTCAAAAAAAGCAAAACAGCATGAAATTTTCAAAAGGCGCACACTTGAGCTAAGGCGCAAGTCACATCAAGCGCACGCCTAGGCGAATTAGGCATGCGCCTTTTGAAAGGGCCACGCCTAGTACCTAAGCGATGTGCATACCCTAAAATGTGCCTAGGCACGCCTCAAGTGCGCCTTTGATATAAACCCATATATTTTAAAAATGACTCAAAAACAAAACCATTCTTTATCCAAGTGATGGCTAGCAATTCAACCATCTGAATCAAATTGATCAACCTATGAAGTCATAGTTAAGTAATAAAATTTTTAAAATATAAATAAATATAGAAATTTACAAAATATGTAGAAAAAATTAGACACAATTATGATATTTTTATTAATCAAATTAAAAAAAAAAAGTGTAGTAAATGAGAATTATTTTTATTGATAGAAAAAATTAGAAAATGAAATACATAATTTAGAATTGACCAAAAATGAAATATAAAAATTAATAATAAATAGTTCAACTTTTGGGTTAAATGTGTAAACCTTTAATGTCAAATAAAATAATAAAGATTAATAAATATAAAAATACAAAAAATGAAAAAATACATAAATTTTGAAAAAAAAAAAGTATTCAAGCACATGTATAACATTAAACAAAAAGTAAGTGTGACATATATTTTTACACACAAAAATATAAAAGGATTATAGAAAAAATTGAACACGTCTATAATTCTATATTTACATTATCATTAAAAACATGAATAAGATTGTGGAACTTTCTTTCAACTAAAATCAAGGTTTTAAATGTTAGTTCATGAGAAGATGAAAGAGCTAGAAGAGAGACACAAGTTCAGATCTATTAGGGTTGACTAAAAAGGCATTGCCATGTTTTTAGATAGTAATGTTTGAATAAGTCATAATTCAAACAGCGCTTACCTCCTCTCTTTCACGTTGTCGCTTTTCTTGAGTGCTTCTTTCTTGTGTGTTACCATACCATCTATTGTCCATTTTGAGTCCTATAATAATGATGTAAACAGTAGATAGATCAAAATCTCATCCATAGCATGTTGGATAAAAACTAATTTATAGCATGTCTTTCATGAACAAATTCAGGAAAAAAGATTAAGAACTACAGTGAACCATCCTCCGAACAAAGAAATGAATGCATCAAAGAAAATCTTATTTTCATGATTATCATCATCATCATCAATGCCTTAATCCTTATACCAACCCTTATCCCAACTATATGGGTCAACTACATGAATCTTGTTTTGCCAATCCATTCTATTTAAAGCCATATCCACTGTTAAATTATTAAATTATTTATTAGTGCTTAAATCATTTCTTACTACTTCTCATGTCCTTTTTCTTACAATCAAATAAGAAAAGGAATATACTATGGAGATGCGCAAGAGCAACCATTCTTTAGTCAATATGGGTAGAGAGGAATGCAAAAATATACAAAGACCCAAACAAAATATATTGGTGAAAGTGGTTCATTGAGTGAAGTCCATGGATATAATTTCCCGTTTTGCAACAGATAATATGACAGGTGGATATCAAAGTAATGTAAATTTCTCAAATAACAAGGATTTTAGCAACCTCCAATTGGATGCTCCAGCCACCTAATTGCACTCACCTAAATTTGATGTGTCGGCTCAGGAAAACTAGAAAATTCAAATATTGGAGTGTTTAGAAATAGCTTGAGAAAGATCACCAAAATGTCTCAAGGCATGAAACAACAATAAGACGCTAGTCTCATCGAGGCGAGGTGAGGGGAGAAATAATAAAAAAAAAAGAAAAGGAAAATAAACATAAACCACAAATGATGAGTAAGTTCTAAAACTAAGATCGTTTAACTAATTAGAGCTTATGCCATCATCACAAGTCAAAGTACTACATATCCCCATTATAAAATATAAATAGAAGATAAAATTAACAAAGAATTAGCATGAACATTCAATTGATCTACATTCTACAATAATAAATTAGAGACAAATTTTGTGAAACCTTGGACAGGGGATCCTGCACTTAATAGCCCAGTCATGCCATGACCTCAATCAAACGACACACCTAATCTACCAGTATTGCCACGCTGACCACCACTCTCTGAGAGCGGAACGAACCAGAAACCATCATTTGAACATACAAGAGAGCTTCAACTGCGTGTAACATTTTTCTCTCTAAAAGACCTAAAACGTAGACCAGGTCTCTGCAACATTTCATTTTTTTTACCAGTAACCGTAATCCCATGGCCACCAAAAATAAATCAATGGTTGAGGAGATAGCTGTAGTCCTATGTGGAAATGATACAGTGTAATTGATTTATTCCAACCCCTAATAATCCATAACCCACCCCCTGTAAAGAGCCCCTGTTTTCGACATAGAACGACGAAGAAGAATAACAACTCAGAAAAAGGACAGAAGAATCTTGCCCCAAAGCACGAAGACGAGGAGAAGCTAACATACCTTACAAGATTATTCGTCGTTTCGTCCGCTCTGTCGAACTCCGACTCCGGAGGCACGTCGAGAACCTGCCCGCTTGTTAGGTCGAAAGGTAGAATGGGGTAGGGTTTCAATCCCATTCCTCTGCTTCATATGGTGCCATAGGTTTAAATGTCAGCGACATTTTGTGAAACCTCAGCGCCTCGATACGTGAAATACGGGCAGATTTACTTCGGCCAACTAGCCAACGAATGACCAAAGTAGGTGTTTGGCAGAATAGCGTTTCACAATATTCTTTTCTCTAATTTAATTTGGTTGGAATAGGTTTTTCTTTTCTTGGTAAATAGCGGAAGGGCACTTGATTCACACGTGTATATAGCGTTAAAAATATGTCAAAATTCCCAATTAGTATTCTGTATTGTATTTTGGGTCTAGTCATTAGTGCCACTAGCTCCTGAATTTTAAAATGCAATAATTCAGTACCCGAATTTTTAAAATATGTGAATGGACTCAATCCAACACCTATCTTAACCAATCCATTAACAAGCTATTAAGTGGCAATTGAAAAGGCACAAGTGCCAAGTGTCATTTAATTTTCTTCATCAACCATCCAAACATTGACAAAAAATGAACAATCCTAACTTCTTGCCTCTTCTATTCAAGAAGTTGGGGTCACGTCTCAGTGGGTAACCTCAACTTTTTCTAATAGAAGAGGCAAGGATTTAGGATTGTGCATTTTTTATCAATGTTTTGATTGGTGATTAAGAAAATTAGATGACACTCGAAGGGCACTTGTGTCTTTTCAGTTGCCACTTAATGATTGGTTAACAGTAGGTACTAAATTGGCACGTTTTGAAAGCTCAAGTACTGAATTGTCATATTTTAAAGTTTAAGGACCAAAGTATAGGGTACTAATCGGGAATTTTCCCAAAATACATAGATGTTGTATGCATTCTAGGTTTGGCCAGCTTGTCATGTAAAAAATTTAAACAAAATTAGCAAGGTGACAACTAGCTGGTTATAAGTGATGAAGGGTGATTTGGCTCGACCTAGCAAGAAGGGGACACGTGGGCGCGATCTGATCAAGGGATGACAACTCAGCCTAGTAAGCCTAGTTTGCAACATTTGGAGCTCGGGTATTCAGCCACCTCGGTGTAGAGGCACCTCGGGATCCAATCCAGTTCGAGACTAAAGAATCGAAGTACCAGTTTGAAGCTAATGACCTGAATCGCTACGTAACTGACTCCAGAGTTCTCTCCAACAGATCCCAAGTTACTCGAGATCATGATGAGCTAACAAATCCCAACTTTTCCGAGATCACGATGAGAACTTGTCCCAGCTCCACCAGAGTCGGAGGTCAAACGATAAACCTTATCTACGTACCGCTCCTTCAAAAGTGGAACGAACCTTATCTCCACACCCCGGAGATCCCGGAGCTCTTTCGTGAGACCCACGACTACTCCAGTATATAAAGACAGGAACGTGAAGGCAAAGGTATGCGTGATTACTCTACTCTCTAGCATTCAAGCTCCCAAGCATTCAGCTCGCATTTACAGCATACTTACTAACTTAAGCATCGGAGTGACCTCGCTGGGTTAGCTACCCCAGGTTCTCTAATAGATTGTTTTGCAGACCGATCCAGCTCGTTGTCCACCTGGAGTCCGGATCGTCCTCCATCTAGGAGTAGTCAGATCGCGCACCATCAATTGGCGCCGTTTGTGGAAACTCGATCGAAAGGTCATTCCTACCTCTTTGCAGCTTCAGCTCAACTTCAACATCAATGGCATCCTCCAGCCACACCGGGAAAAGCTTCAAGATGAACACCACCGGGGGGCAAGCCCAGCAGCCAACCTTTCCCCAAGCTCCTACAATGTGCATCGGACATTTCACCATTCCGCTCACAGTGTCTGGAGTCCCATCACTAACTGCACCTCCGAGCATTGCACAGGTGAGTGCCCCGCTTCCCCCAGTGGTAGGTGCAACTTTCTCTAAGCCCTTCGTGATTCCTCCTAGAGTGGGGAGTTCCCAATTCCACGACCTCGTTCAATGCGTCCGGGCCATTCAGATCCAGATGCAATAGGTCCAGCAGTTTCAGCAGTACCAACATTATTACTTCTATCAGCAATATCAACACTAGTTCCCCCCACTACAGCCAAACTAGCAGTCGGTCCCACCTCGGCACCCAGGGCCCCATCACAGTCAGAACCCGAATCACCTTGGATTAACCAGAACATCAATTGATCCCCCCATCGGGGCGAAGAGACCTCACAAGCACTGATTCCTCTCAGGAGTCAGGTCTCACCCCAAGGGAGGAAAGACAGTCAACACACTCCACCGACCTCGCAAGGAAATCTCAGAAATAAGTCTGAGGATAGTCAACTGAATACGAACAGGCACTCACAGCAAGAGAATGATGGCTCGCGAGCAGATAATCAGTTCGAGGTTCGAGGTGCAAACTCGAGACAAGACCTCTCCGTCCCCCGTGATAGTCAGCCCTAGAATCCCTCGAGAAACCAAGATTTGCCTCGTAACAGGGCCACAGTACTAGATCGAACTGAAGTCAATAGAACCAATGCCGAGCCAGTGAAGAAACAGCAATGGAGATGTCGCAAGACACGCCGTACCTCGATCAAGAACAACCGCCAACAAAGCCAAGCCAACGAGAAGAGCAAACCAAAGGGAAGGAAGAAGCGAGCTCGGTGGCTACAAAGACCGCTCCTCCACTACTTTGCAAGTCATCTCCTCTATCTCTCGAGCTCTTGGCGGCTCCAATGCCAAAAGACTTCAAGATGCCCCCATTAGACAAGTACGACGGGTCCTTCGATCCTAACGACCATGTGGACTCTTTCCGGTCCCAGATGCACTTAGATGCGGCTAATGAGCCTTGCATGTGTGTAGCCTTCTCTACCACCTTTAAAGGGATAGTTTGAACTTGGTACCAAAACCTCACGTCGGGCTCGACCAAAAGCTGGTTGTAGTTCGCTGACTTGTTCACTGCACATTTCATCACTAGCAAAAAGTGTCTGAAGTCCTAGGAAAGCCTTGTCAATGTGGTTCAGAGGGAAGGAAAATTGGTTAGGAGCTATATCAAACGCTTCAATGACACTTGCCTGCAGATACCAGACCTCGACCCGACAGTGAGACTTACTGTAGCCAAGAAGGGAATTACCAAGGAGTTTAAATGGCATGTTGTAGCAAACAAACCGAAGGACATTACCGAGTTCCTTAAACTCGCAGATCAGTTCATTGGCACCAAGGAGGAGATCGATCAGAAGGTCGATAACCCACCACCGGAGAAGAGGAAGAGAGAAAGTGAAGGAACGAGCAGTGGCGCACAGAAGAGGAAGAAAAGCAAGTCCCCGAGTAGGGGAATAAACAACTCTAGAAGTCGGTCCCCCTCGCGATCTCGTAAATCAGGTCGGCGCCCACGTGTCCCCTTCTTTGGGTCGAGTTAAAACTGTTGCGGTACCTAAGTATCTTTTCAGCTCATCGAAGGCGAGCTGACATTCTTCAGTCCATTCGAAGTCCTTACTCTTTTTTATGGCTTTAAAAAAGGGTAGGTAGCGATCTTCCGACTTGAACATGAAGCGGCTCAGGGCGGCTATCTGGCCAATCAACTTCTGAACCTCTTTTATTTTGCGGGGTGGTCTCATATCTAGGATGGCTTTTATTTTATCTAGGTTGGCCTCGACGCCACGTCGGTTGACTATATAGCCTAGGAATTTTCCCAAGGTGACTCCAAAGACACACTTGTTTGGATTTAACTTCATGTTATATTTTTGCAAAATTTGGAAAACACTTTTTAAATCATTCAATAAAAAATTTGAAAACTGAGTCTTCACGGCCATGTCATCAACATAACACTCTATTTTATTGCCGATTAATGGCTCAAAAATCTTATTTACAAGGCGCTGAAAAGGTTGCCCTGGCATTTTTTTTAATCCGAAGGGCATGGCCTTGTAATAGTATAACCCGAGCTCAATTATGAAAGCGGTTTTCTCTTCGTCAGCAGGGTCCATCCTAATATGTTATAACCAAAATAAGCGTCTAGGAAACTCAACAACTCATGCCCTGAGGTTGCGTCCACTAGGTGGTCGATCTTGGGTAGCGGGAAGCAATTTTTTGGGCAGGCTCTATTCAGGTCGGTGTAATCGATGCACATGCGCCACTTGCCATTGGCCTTTTTCACCAAAACTGGGTTAGCCACCCAGCTCGGGTAATGGACTTCCCTGATGAAGTCTGCCGCTAGGAGCTTCCCAACCTCTTCATCGACTACCCTCCAATGTTCCGGGGCGAGGTTGCGCTTCTTCTGCCTTACTGGCCTGACTAAAGGGTCGATGTTCAATTTGTGAGTTATAATTTTTTAATCAATTCTAGGCATTTCTGCCGTGGACCAAGCAAAAATATCTAAGTTTTTTAGTACGAAACTTACTAGATGGGAGCGGAGTGGTTCGTTGATCGAGGCACCGATCTAAAGAGTTTTGGCCAGTTCGTTAACAAAGACTAGTATGTAGACCATCTCCTCTATCGGGACATCTCGTTCGTCGTTGTACTCCATAGGTCGCTCGAGCTCGACATCTTCTGCTAGTTTTGCCTTCCCTTTAAGAGCAGCTACGTAGCATTTGCGTGATTCGAGTTGGTCACCTCGCATGACTCCCACCCCGTAATCAGTCGGGAACTTCATTGCTAGATAGTAAGTGGATACTATTGCACGTAGAACATGCATGATGGGCCGACCTACTATGGCATTGTAGGGGGAGGGAGTCGCGACTACCAGGAAGGTGTGCTCAAACAGCACGATGTTTGGCCACGTGCCAGCTTCTAAAGGTATTGTGACTCGCCCAAGAGGTCTGGACCTCCTCACTGTTGAACCCTACTAAAGGGGTGTTTGCCGGTTTCAGGTCGCTCTGCTGTAGCTATAATTTATCGAACGTCTCCTTAAAGAGTATGTCAGCCGAGCTGCCTGAGTCTACCAATATCCACTTTACTTCGAAGTCATCGATCCACAGCTTTACTACCAGGGCATCATCGTGGGGATACTAGATTCCGCGTGCATCGTCCTCAGTGAAGTATATCGGTCCATCAAGCCAAGGTCATTTTGGCGGGTTTTCCTCTTCGTTTTCTAGCTTGTGCATCGAGGTCCTCCCGGCTGCCGATGTACACTTCGCGATGATGGACCCGCCGGTAATCATGTTAATTACCCCGTTGATCGGTCTCTCTTTTGGCAACTGTCGTGGTTGTTGCTCGTTCTGCCTGCTGGCTTCTAGGGCATTCCTCATCTG